AATCATTGGTTTCATTGCTTGTAAGGCCTCCTCCAATTTGATTGTTTTCTTGAGGTTCTGTTGACATTTCAATGTCGTTCTCGTCTACTGAAATGTTTTGATTCTCAGCACCGGAATTTGGAACACGTGTCATTGGATGCTGTATTCTCATGTGGCGTTGAAAGTTATCTTTTCTTTTAAATTGCATGCCACAGGTAGTGCATTTGTGCCCAGAACTTTTATGAGCTGACCTTAAGTGGCGATACATATTTGATGAATGTGTAAATGATGCTCCACACACATTACATATGACAGACTTCATTGTAGACAGCTAATCTGAAAATAATTAAAATAAACAAGTAATTAACAGAAAATTTTGCATTAGGAGATATATATATATATGTTTATATAATTTTATTTAGATAGTACTGAACTCTGATTAAGAAACCACAGTTTCAAGACCATTGCACGGCCATCAACATCCCTGTCACCAGGGACGGAGCTCCGCCCACCGAAGTAGGCTCACATGAACTTGAGTCGGACAGGTCTTCCCGATAATGACGGGGACATGTTACGTTAACGCTCTCCTGTCCGTTGTGAGCTAGTAACATCGCCCTATATCGGTACACCTTGTTCATGTGCAGCAATGTCTCAGAATTCATAATTTATTTCATATTGTTAATCATGTCTAAATTGCTTGTATTCATATTTTATTGTAATACTTAGACTAATTAGCGATGCCTCTTCAGTTGAATACAGTAAACCCTCTTTAAGGCTGTTTCTACAAATAAAAAAAAGTCAAATAAATAACAATTTAATAGATTAAAATTAATTAAACTTTTTTCTGAGATAATCACAACCTAAAGAAAAACACATATCAGTATAATTAAAAAGTTTATCATTAATAACCACAACTTAGAAAAATCAATCTTAACATTTTCCATTAAAATACGAGTAACTTTTATTTTAGATTATTCTTAAGAAAGAGTGACTTACCTGACCGTCTGGTCCACCACAAAGTGATGAATTTGATTATCATCGGTCTTTATATACCCGTTATACTGACTGTGAAAATTCTTTAATTTGATTGGATATTTAAAAAAAATGTTAACCCCAAAACTGATTTGATGCATTAGATGGTGATGACCGCTTCCGCGAGAAGACGCTTTTCCGGTGTCTCGCTTGAATTCTCTTGCTTCACGTTGCTAAATACAGGGGTCATGGATAAGCGTGTATGTTTCTTTTGTGTGACACACATTTTATGAATATTAAGGACAATCATGAATAAAACTTTGTAACTTTAATTTGGATTAACCTTTTGACCGGTATGCCATATCAAACTTATGAAATTTATGTCGAAAACTATTGACACATTGCTCATTTTACTTTTCATTTTCATTTTACTTTTCATTTATTGTCAATTTGTCACTGTTTTAAAATGATTGAAATGTTGTTAAGGGTTAAAGATCCGCTGTGAGGATTCTTGATCATTATAAAGTTCAAGTTCTGACACTGATGCAAACAGCTAGATAGTTTTACAAATAAAATGTCAAAATAAGCACGTTTAAAAAAACCAATATGGCGTCTAATTTTTTATTTTAAACCAGTTTAATCTTGTCCATAATGCTTGTCGTGACATGTTTACCTGTATTCTATAAATAGAAGTGGCGTTATTAACCAATACAACACACATTGCGTTCACCTGTGTTTCGCTTGACTGCAACTTGATCAAAACAATAAAATAAATGCATCGACCTTTTCTAATGTTTTGTTTAGTTTTATGTAAAATCCATATTACACAGCGACATTTTGATAAATAAATAAAACATTTCAATTTACCTCAAATACCCAAGTGATAAGAGGTCACAGTCAAGGTGGAGTCTACAGTCAGGGGGTAGTTCACAGCTAAGGTGGAGTCTACAGTCGGGGGGTGGGGGTGGGGGGGGGGTAGTCCACAGTCAAGAGGGGATATATGTATTTACTAATAATTGACACTTGGTTAACTTTTAATTGATGATTCATAATTAATTTTTTTAATTAAATTCATAATTAATTTGTTAATTAAATTCATTAGATGACGTCATGGGTATCCTCACACGCTGGGAGGATACCAGGAGGATCCTCCATAGTAACTCTATGGGAGGACACTGGTCCAGAACCCTGGTTTTTCCCCTACTAATATATATATATAAAAAATAAATAAATACACATGATACATGTTACGTCTGCTTTGATCCCAACATCAAAGAATTGGCTTCTGCTGATGAATCAGATACTAAATTAGGCAATTTTGAAATGCCAACAATTGATGAACTTTATCCTGATCTTCAAAATATGGATTTTCCGTTTGATGATGACCTTGATCTTCCTTTAAATGATTTAAATATGCCAAACATTGGAGTATCATCCATTGAAAACACAAAGGAAATGAATGAAAAATTGAAGCTTGATGAGGAAGGGAATCTGCAGTCAACATTAGATTACAAACAGATAAATCCACAGAAAACAAGATTTGGAAATGTTTCAAATGAAGAACTCTTAAAATTTTATGAGAGTAACCAGTCAAAAAATACCAGAAAAAACACAAAATGGGGAATAAAAGTCTTCCAAGGTATGAATTGTCACTTTTACAAATTTCTTGCAGATTCTGTTGATAATGATTCTTTGCATAAAAATAATATTCAGTCAAAATTATCCCTGATGTTTTTAAATAATAGAACAATCAGTAGAAAATCTGACTGACATGCAAAGAAACCTAGATTCAATCTTGCTTGTCCTTTTCAGAGTGGTGTGTGGAGTCTCAGGGCCACGCAGTAGATTTCATGTCCATAAATCCTGATGAACTGACCACATTACTGACAAAGTTTTATTGTGAAGCAAAACCAAAAGAAACAAATGCTAGACAAAACTCCCTTCCATCAGAACTAGCAGGGGAATATCATAAAAACACCCTGAAGAACATCCGTGGAGCCCTCAACCGCCATCTCCAGGACTTGGGACGAAACATAGATATTGTGAATGCCACAGAATTTAAAATTGCCAACAGAATTCTTAATGGTCTTTTGAAGCAAAGTATGCAAGAGGGTCTTTCTCGCCCAACTGTTCATAAAGATATCAATAGTGATGATGATCTAAAATTAATTGCCACTTATTTTAAAAATGCTGAAACTAACCCCATCATCCTTAGACAATGTGTTTGGTTCAACCTTGCTACACAATTTGTTACAAGAGGAGCTGAGTTTCACCATCAATTAAAAATTAAATCATTCACGTTCAAAACTGATAATTTTGGCGAGTATGCAGTTTTGAATCATGAAGTAAAACAAAAAAACTTCCAGGGTGGTTTGGGTACAGAGGAAGCTCCAAGCGACAAACGCATGTATGCGACAGGATCAGAAACATGCCCCATAAAAATGTTAAAGCTGTTGATTAAGAAAACTGATGTCACTTCAACTCACCTTTTTAACCAATACAACAAGGTTGCAGTTGATTTCCCATCTATCACATTCACATGGTTTCTAAACAAACCCTTAGCAAAAAGAACATTTACTAACTTTTTTTCCGAAATCTGCAAATTTGCCAAAACCAGTAAAATCTATACTCCACATTGTTTGAGGGCAACCTCAATACAACACATGAACAACGCTGGTCATGAAACAAGGCACATTATGTTCATGTCAGGGCAAAGAAATGAATCTTCCATAAGATCATACAATAGACACTGTTCAACACAGCAGAAAAAAGCACTGAGTGCTACACTTTCAAAAATGACAGATGAAAACTTACCAAGACAAGAGACATCAAATGCCGAGCCAGTTCTCGATGATAGCTCGGTTCTGTCAGCACCTCTTTCCTCTAATGTTGTTTCCTATGGAATTCTGCAACCTTCCTCAATTGAAGATCCTAATCATGCTAAACAAATGATGATGAATATGCAACACTCAAGCTCATCGGTTACCAAAACAGTACAAACTCAAGGAATCATGACACAAACAACATTTCACGGGTGCACATTCCACTTCGTTTCAAAATGACTGACCATGCTGACGGCCTGATCACTAACGTTATAATATTTACACATTCGCCTTCCGGAAACATTTTTCGTGTATAAACCAAGTTTTGTTGAATATTCTTTATTTATATTTGTTTCTTGAAGTCTACTGATTAAATTTTGAAATTAATTATCATTGTTGTGTGTTGTATATTGTATATTTTACAACGACGCTTTTTACAACTTTTTACAACGACGCTTCACGCCGGCATATTTTTCATGAAGCGCTAACGCGCTTCATGAAATATGCCGGCGTGAAGCGTCATAGTTCATAACCTCATGAATCTGTAAAAATGAAATTCATTTCTTAAATATATATATAAGGCCATCCCAAGGTTTCTCTATGTTTAGTGGGACTGTGTCCGCAGACGGCTTGGTTTTGACTTTAATTATCCGGACTTATAAAAATTCGTTTCAGTTTTACATCTATATTGGGATAGACATATCATTTTTATTTGAGATTCTTTTTAACTGGGGGGGGGGGGGGGGTCAAAGATTGAATAAATTATGTACACATTATCAATTATTATAGTTACAATAGAAAGAAAATGATCAAATTATCAAAATAAACTTAATCATTATCGTTGTGTTGTTTTTTTCTGTTGATCTGTGGATTTTTTTCTGATAGAAAGATAGGTTTTTGATTTAGGATTGGACGCTAAACATTATAGAAGAAACTTGGAATGGCCTGACTCTCACACTTATTATGCTATTGAAACTGACCAGTGCATTGTTAAGCCTAACCCTACCCCCCACTCACCCACCCAGCATTGTAATCCACGGGAGCGGATCATACAAGTTAGAGTTCAGAGTTTGTTTGTATATGTGCTCTACATGTAGTTTCTGTCAGTATTTTGTATAAAATTATATGAACCTCGTCATGTATTTTGACTGTAAGTCAATTCCTAATGTGAATATTTAAAACATGAGAAAGATAAATTTAAAATGTTTACTATAGGTGACAAATTCTGGGTCGTGTTTTCCGATATGCCCCAGATCCTGCCGACTGTCAGTACCAGAGCTCCTTTAAAAGTGCTTGATGAAAAAACAAAAAATGTCGGACAAGAAAGAGAAAGGTAAGTGTAAGATTCAAAAATATTTTAAGTTCCAAACGCATTTTGTACACTGATGATGAAATCTGTACAATTGCAAAAATTTTTCGTGTACATGTTAATTATTTATTGTTCCTCTCCTGTTGTGCATTCATTGTCTGACTGGAACAGCTATGTAGCTCATAAATCCCATGTTGTAATAGGGCCTAATACATGTTTGACGTTTAACCAGACACATGGAAAACAGTCCGGGTGGCGATTTCATCGGTACAGGATCAAAATAATAAGAGATGCTTAAAATTAATAAAAAAAAAATCCAGCGGAAGCATTGCATGTATAAATATATAACCTTGAACTTATTGTATAGCAGAGACATGTGTTTGCACATCTATAGGCTAGTTAATTATGTACATCTATACATAACCATGAAATGAACAGCTCTTATGCACACATATATCTTTCACTCTGTACAAGCTGATGACCGTAGTTTATACCATCGTCTATTTTAACTTCAAATACCTTCTCTTCATTTTTCTACCAGAATCTACTCTGCTCTGTTTTTTGCCAAAAGATGATAACAACATACTTTTAATTGAAAAAGAGCATTTATTACAAATGCCAATGAAGTAAAAAAACAATATAAATATACAGCAGTATTGTTTGATATTAAATATATGTTACACCTGTTACAAGGAAAAAATTAAAAACAACCCAAAAAAGACAAAAATACAAGATAAAGTGCATATCTTAAATTTGCCCTAATTAATATAGAACAATCATGCATATAAAACTGTATAGGTATACACAATAAAAACTGCATGACTTGACCGTATTATATGTATTAGGCCAAACAAAAAATATGTTTGTGTACTGTTACATGCTGAAATAAAATAGGGTCGGTAAGTGGGAATTTTTTTTTATTTTACTGAATTTTTTATTTAAAAATTCACATGAATTGGTTGAAATACAAACTAGTTTTACCATATGTGTGGTGCTTTACTTTTGTTTGGGCTTGCTATATGGGCAATAGACAATATCTTTCTTGCCATCTGCACAAATGGCCATAGCATTAGCTCCTTGCAGGCCCGTAAGAAGCAATTTCAGTAAGGTGGGGCACAGCAATACATTTTTAATTGAGGGGGCATTCTCATCTACCAAAAATTTCTTGACAAGCAAAAAAAAAAAAAAAAAAGGTCGTCAGATGTTTTTATTAAGGGGGCACAAGCATATAGTATCTATGTTTTCTATGGTAATCTATATATCGGAAAATTATTGGGGTGCCCCCCCCCCCCCCGGTTCTTCGGCCATGCCTTGAGCCTTTGGCTCATAAGAGCTAAATATTTAAATGATAAATACATTTTGAATAAATTGTTAATTTAACTTAAAAAAACAATTGAATTCTTTTTAATAAAAATAGATCTAATCATCAATTTTTTTTTCGGGGGGGGGGGGGGTATTTTATTCTCCTCTAAAGCACCGTCTTTTTATGTGCAGTGTTATTCTTGGTTTCTACAAACTGAATAGGCCCTAGTGACCCCCCTTTTTTTACTTTACTTCAATTATTGGCAGTCCCTACTTTTACAGTAATCTTTAAACAAAAAAGGGTGCACACTATGTAGCAATATTGCTTACGTGTAAATATTGCGACAACATGTTTACATTGGTGTCTGATTTTTTTTTCAACGTAAGCAGTTGAATGTAGGTCATTGTGTACTAAAGCACGTGCGCTTGACCGAAGTACAAGCCCATAGCTCATAGAGTAAATAAACAATGATAATGTTTATAGGACTTGTTTATTTTAAGCATATATTAATGCTAAAAGTGGCTTAAAAATTATGTGTTTAACTAATGAATCCTTTTTCATGTCGGAACATAAATGCTATTTATAGAATGACCTGAAAATGTTGGAAAACCCCCACATGTGCATATTAACAAGTGTTATTACTTTCACGGTGTGTACTATCTTACAGCAATTAGTTAATTTTTCATGGTTATAAATATTTTTTAATCAAATAAAAACTTAATGCTTATTAACATAAAAGTAAATTGCAATAAACATTAAATTGACAGCTACTGCATCATACTCCGTACCGTGATTCGCATCGAGTTCACCACAGGTGCGCAACGTGTTTGTAGGATTCTAGTAATTTGAATTGGTTTATTAATAGAATAATAACTAATAACATTCAAAATAAATCCTCTTCTTAAAAAATTGTATACCATTAATAATTCATGCATAGCGGGAAACATAGCGGCAGTTTGATGTATGGCGGGAGATCTTGGATGCATGGCGGTACCTCCATGCAAAAACGGTCTGGGAAAAATAGTTTATTATTTAATCGAAAGTACTAGAAATAGTCTATTTCTAGTATTTTCGATTTCAAAACTTGTCCGATTAAGATGCATGTAAAAGTTAAACTGACCGGTGAGTGACTTCTGGATTTTTACGACGAAAAAAAAAATTGGGTCGGCAATTAAATATAGGGTCGGTCGGGTAACCGTAAACAAACATAATTTTTTTTATTACGCCTTACGGTCATCAAAAAAAAAATCGTATGTGTAGGTCATTAGGTTACATTCATCTTAAATTTTTGTTATGGTGATCATACTGTACAACTTTGAGGACGATTTATCGTTTTATTTTCCTTAATGCGTGTAAACAACAGCAAATGGCATAGCGATTACATCCCTATATATACTTACTTATCATCATAGAAAACACAGATAAATCAGCTGAAAAATGAAATCGTGAGTGAAAAATTCTAACCGATCAGGTTGGCTGACATTTTTTGATGAACGTAATGTAAACATGTACTACCCTTTTCAACTTGTATACAGTAATCTTTCCCTCTAGACTTAAAAAATACGAGTTGCAAATAAAGTCCGACTGAGATTATTGGAATCTCCCTACCTATGATTAAAAACAGCTGCAAAAGACGAAAGAGTAAAAGCTTGAACATCTGTTTGCCCTCTCCCGACCCAGGGTAAAAAAAAAATTGGTCGGTATGTAGGAAATTTCTTTTTTCAGAAAATTTCAATATCAATGCTGAATTTTTAAAATATAGGGAAAGATCACTGTCTACAAGCTGATGACCGTAGTATAAATGTCAGCCAAACTACTTGGTTAGAATTTTTCACTCAAGATTTCAAACATTTTTCATTTTATCTGCGTGTAAGCCTCAGTTTTGGCTGGTATGCAAATGATTCCATTTTCGGAAAAAAAGAGCTTCAATAATTTGAATAACCTATTTTACGATGACCATAACCTTAACAATGTTTTACATCGACATGCTTGTGTCTTGTTTATTTGTTAAATTTTATTTCTTTTATTAATTTATTTATTTTTTTACTTTCCAGTAATTATTGATTTGATAAAGACTATTATGGTATTTGTTTAAATAGTTGTTTAATGGTCATAAAACAGGGATGCACAATAGTCATCATGCATAGTTTTAATACATATATATTTAATCTAATATTAAACAAACGTCTCTACTTTGTAGAACTTCAGAAGAGTCCGGCGATAGTTCGTATATCTGAGGATGAGATTAAAACTATTGCTGAGGATCTTAGACTGAAACTCACTACAGAGGAAACCAGCGCCTTATATGGTACATATTCAGCATGTCAATAAAATATATAGGGATGGGGTGCATGGAATGGTTTTCATACATCGGTATCACTCCTTGTACCCAGTTTAATTAAATGATAGGAATGTCCAGCACTGGTGTCTCTATGAAGTTGGTATCAGCCCTTGTACCTAAGTTAAAGTGCATTGTACAGACCCAGCGTTGGGGCCTTTGGTCGGAATCACCCCCTGTTTCCAGTTTAAGTGGGAAACACCCAGCACCGGGGCCTCTACTTGTTATCGTCCATGCACTGCAGTATAGCATCATGTTGTAAATTTTAAATTTACTGGGGGAGGTAGTTATCATGTTGCAAATTTTGCATTTACCTCCCCCTAGTAAATTCAAAATTTACAAGATAATAGTTTAGGCGAGGTAGTTCGATCCTCAGGTTATGAAAATCAGGAGTTGAGGAATTGAAAATGCTCACAAAAATGTCACTGAGTTCTCAAAGTAATGCGTATTTACCCATGGTATTTCTTTGTGCTGGTTTGTGCTTACGCGTGTGTTCACCTCTAACATGCCCAGGACTGGGTCGTAAGTGTCATCCATCCTCTCTTTAAAAAAAATGATTTAAACGACCTGTCTTCTGGCAGCATGTTCAAAATCCTTGCCAAGGGTAATGACTATACCTTGTAAGAAAAAAAGTTCATTAACAAATGGGCGGTCATCTTGGTCGGAAGGACGGCCACTTTGGCCGGAAACGGAAGGATGGCACTCTTGGACCAATTTCGGACGCGGTTAAATAGAATTGCGAATACTACGCAGATTCAGACTTGAATAATATGAGATGAGCAAATTATGCATCATTTAGATTTCTGTGGAGATGTCTGCAAGGACTATCAAAGGGTTTATGAAATTGTCTCCCCAACCCCTACTGTCAAATACCCAAGGACCCCTGGGTACAGGGAAACCAAAGACGATTCGTGGTGAGTGTACGTTGAAATTCATAGTTAAAAGACAATTCCCATGGCTATAAATCTAAAATTCATCATCTCCTGAAACCCATGTAGTATCAGAATCATACCTAACATTTTTATATTTCTGAAGGAATTCTGATATTGTCTTGATTAATATCGAAAAGGTATTACCGATGTGACATTAAAGGGGCCGAGAAGGGACTGTTAGCGGGAAAAACTGTAGCAATCAAAGACAATGTGTGTGTGGCAGGGGTTCCCATGATGAACGGAAGTAAAATACTGGAAGGGTTTGTACCCGACAGAGATGCTACAATTGTGACAAGGATACTGGATGCAGGTACATGTACATGTATGTTAGAGAGTCATCTGTGAACCTCTCAAAAATTACAAAATTTCTATAAAAAATATTTCAGTGAGTAACTGCATTTACATGTTGTACAGTGTAATTATTATACATGTATATTTGTTCGTCAGCCTCAAATAGTTTGTATTTTACAATGTGACAACTTCTGAACACTTCTTTACTCTCTTTATTTTGATACTGTGTGTTTTAGGTGGTAGAATTCTGGGTAAGTCAGTGTGTGAAGATCTGTGTTTCTCTGGCAATAGTGCTACATCAGCGACTGGACCAGTTAAAAACCCGTACGATCCAACGAGGTGCGCGGGCGGATCTAGTTCTGGATCAGCATCCTTGGTAATTTTATTTGGCCGAATCTAATAACACTGTTGCTAAATTGTAAATATTTATTTTACAGAAGTCATGAGACATACATGTAATATGTGTCTCGGGGAAAACAAACGATGCTTCATAACTGGAAGTGGCGTTTTAGATTGGATCAAAAGTGTGTACACTTTCGAACTATATCTCTTGAGAAAAACAAATGGGGAATGGGACCAGGGTATAACGCGTTTTGTGCATAATCAATAAAGTTTTTTTAATGAATTTTTCTAATAAAATTTGAAGAGATGTTACCAAATTTTCAGAAAGATTTTACGAAAATATTCGTAAAAGAGAAGGGAAGGTTACAAAAGTGAATTAAAAATTTGATTAAAAATTCAAAATTCTATTATACTTGTGTACTTACTTAATCAACATGAAAATACTTCATGTTTGATATAGAAACGTAAAAGAAATATGTGAATGAAATATGTTGGTATTCTAATAAGCTACCTTCTGTTGTAAAGGTGGCAAGAAAGGTGGTTGATGTGGCGATTGGTGGGGACCAGGGCGGATCTATTCGCATTCCATCAGGTTGGTGTGGAATTGTAGGATTAAAACCCACCCATGGGTTGGTGCCATATACCGGGATAATGCCGATAGAAATCACTATTGACCACACGGGACCAATGGCTAGGACAGTGGAGGACTGCGCTACACTGTTAGAGGTGCCTCGGACAATTACCTGGGAAAACTACTAAACGTTGTTTGTATGATGCAAGCAAAATTATTGATTTATTACAATTTTTTTAAACAGGTGATTGCTGGTTATGACGATGGCAATGACCCACGCCAGATCCCTGCAGTACCAACTCCTCCCTATTCTAAACTGGTAGGAAAACTCATTTATTTTGTGATCCTTTGGTACACAAGAGGGGATCCAGCAGGGTATCGGGGTGGGATTGGTATGAATGGGGTTGAAGCCCTTGTGATTTTTAATGTTATTGAATATATTGATTTACTTGATAAATAAGTCCAACAATGACACGTAATGGACAACCCCAGGAAAAATGGACCTCTCCTATGATCTTTAAAACAAAATATGTTTGTGAAGTGGAGATGCTTTTCACTCTGCCCAAGGATCTAACTTCAGATATGCAACTCAGTCAGCTGTATGCGTTTCCAATATTTAGCTGACTAAATGTCGTATCTTGCGCTGAACCTTATGATAAAGAAAATTACAAGAAGTTTTTGCTGTAATGGATATTTTAAAGTGCTGTAACACACTTCAGCATCTACAAAATCAATATTTGATAAGTACTTGTATATCAATTTAAGTCTATATATGTAATATTTTTCACATTGTATTTAAGTTTATGTAATATTTAAAATCAGTTCAGCGATAGAATAAAGGGAAAGAAGATAGCAATTCTAACGGAAGGTTTTGAAGAGGTAGAAGAAGATGTGGCGAAGATTGTAAAGGAAGCAGCTTATAGACTGAAGGAGGCTGGGGCTGAAGTCACAGAAGTGTCCCTCCCGATTCACAAAGATGGTTTGATTTCTTTTCTTTGTTTTCCACCCCCCCCCTTTTATCCGTGAAGACGATGTACACGTATGCTTAGTTGTCCGTCTTTTTTTTTTTTAAATTACTAAAATCTTGCAATATTATACAATTATAATACTGGAAGAATTTCAGATTTTTCTTCCATAACTCATAAAATAAACTATATACAGGGTTTCAATTTTCTCCTGTTTTAATTTTTTTTTTCTCCCTATTTTTGTAGTTACTTATTATTACCAGACCTATTTTTGTATTCACATGAAGCAGAATTTATTTAAAAACTTGTACATGTAAAGGCGAAAGCACTTGCTGTGATCTTCAGCTGGACATTTAGAAATATCGTCGAGGTATTATCAGTTAACAATAGCTACATCCATTCATATGTCGACTCGATATATCCCAGTGAACTTGAAATAAAAGATACCACAGAGTCTGACACATCTTTTTCATATTGAATATTTTACTGGAAAAAAAACGTTAATGGTAACTTTATGATAAACGTGATGACTTCAACTTTTCTATCGTCAACTTCCCTTACTTATGTATATGTAGCAATATATCCTTATCACCTTAATGTGGGGTTTATGTCTCAAAAATGATTCGATACTCAAGAGCATGCTCTACATACGAACAATTTCTTAAACGAGGCAAGCTATTCACGAACAAGTTGATGACACAAGAATATCAACAGTCTCGGTTAAAATCATCATTTCGATGATGATCTTGTCAGCAAATACAATCTATCATTAAGTGAAATGCTGACTTAAGTTTTTCATACTAATTCTTAGGCCATTATTTACACATTCAATTGTCTACATATTTTTCCCGATCATGACACGGATCACACGACGGGTGTGACCGGTCGACAGGGGATGCTTACTCCTCCATGGCACCTAATCCCACCTCTGATGTTTTTAGAGGTTTGTGTTTGCTCTGTTCCGGATTTGTATTCTTTCAATAGACTCCATATTTGTTCTTAACGATTGAAGATCTATAAACAAAAGTTGATTTTAATAAGATTGACTAGCTAGTGGTCATTATTTTCTGTTCTTATAATCGTTTTGTCATAACTGAAGTTTTCGTCCTGTTTGTATGATAAAAAGGACGTTTTTACTTATCTATATGCCACTATTATTTAATGTATATATTTCATACAGGGAAAGCAGTCTGGACACCTGTTGCTTTTGAGGGGACATATCACACGATGGTGAAAGGAAACGGTAAAGATTTATGTTTACAAAGTTCTAGTAAATCACTTATTTAAAAAGAATTAATTTTTGTTTTTAAAATCACGCATTTGTTTGTTTCTCGTATTGTTTTTAACTAAAAACAAGTACTTCAAGCTATAAATCTTTGCCAGGGGATGTAACCAGGCAAAACAGCTGAAGTCAAAATCTACCGTATATATATTTAGCTGAAATGATGTAGTTCAGTCGAACTGCCTGAAATAACAAATGAATATTATTTAGCATCACCAAATTGCTGTTTTCTGAAAATTTAGAGTTTAAATTCACAATTAATAAATATCTGACAGATGATTAAAATTTTGATTTTTAAAAGTGCATTTTGCATCAAAGCTTTCGTACAGGTCTTGAGATGTAATTACCTGAACTTCAAAGATATTGTAAATAATATGTAACAGAGATATAAATGAGACCTGAATGTTATATCGTAGGTCATGGATATAGCTGGAAAGGAACCTACGACCTCTCATTACAGGAAGCTTTGGCTGGAGCTTATAATCTCCGCCCGTTTGACTGCCCCCTACCGGTCAAAGCAGTCATGCTGTTTTCCGAATATATGCAGAGGAATTATCAGAACAAATTTTATGCCAAGGCACAGAACTTGGTCCAACTTTTGACAATGGAGTATAACCGAATCCTTAAGGATTATGACGTCATGATAATGCCCACACTTCCGGGGAAGCCGTTTAAACTCCCTACTATAGAGAACTCTATTCAAGGTAACATACATAAATTACATAAAAGCAACATTTTGTATGTAGTGATTTTTTTTATTTGTATGAATAGCAATCAAAATGTATTGCAGTTTTTTAAATAATGTATACTATATTTGTGATTATCATGATATTGAATTATTATGCAAATATACGGGCCAGAGTACTATATTTGAGAAAGTTTTGCTGCTGTTCAAGTGCAAAATCAACATCATATTCTTATCTTTTCGCTGTAATGAATATTCTATAAATATAATTATAAATACATATACTTATATAGATATACAATTATCTGAATTTCATTCCCAGAATTATAGCAGACCCATAAAGAAGCTCCGGCATCTTGAACACATCAACATTTTCAAAAATGAAATTGTCATAATACACGTACATTTTTTTATCTATGTTTTTTTCAGAGACATTGAAATTACTGTCAGAAATGGTGAAAAACACAGCCCCATTCAATTCAACTGGACACCCTGCCCTCACCATTAACGCGGGATTTACTGAGGGGCTACCCTGTGGGATGATGATCGTGGGGAAAATGTTCGATGAAACCACAGTTCTACAGGTCGCCAGAGCCTACGAGAAAATTCGAGATGGGACATAATTTTGAGCGAAGTGATGCACAGATGCAAAAATTGTTCAAAGTTTCGTGTCATCGTTATGGATTTTTTGTTTATTATAAGATATGTATAGATGAATATTCAAGATGTATCTTAGCTGTTCAGTACATTTTTAATTTCAACTCTTCAAATACAACTTTGGGTTAATTCTTGTATAGGATACACATAATACATGTACAATACATTGTATATGAAATTGAAAAAAAAATTGAAATGCCTTAGTTCTCTTATTTTTAATAACTGAATTGACGTGTGTAATTCTGTTTAAATGAAGACCATCAAAATAAACTTTTACATAGATGTCAACCGGTCTCTAACGCTTATCATGCAATGTAAAGATACATTAATTTTCCTGACAATTATTTTCCCAAAAATTTAGATTAAGTATGAATATATATACAACATTAATGTCTATTAAAATCTAAATTTAACCTAACTTTATAAACATTCTGATACACAAAAATGCTAACGAAAATTAATTAATGGGCTAAAAAATGTCAGATGTTTTTGTGTTATCTGATACGTTTTATTGCTACCTTTGCAGAGATTTAATAACTGAAAATGCCCGGGGGGGGGGGGATCTAGATTTAACCCCCTCCTCGAATGCTGGAATATTCGACTAGGTCAAAATTTTAAATATTTGTTTAGCAATGTATGCAAATACTGCCGTGTAAGTTTGATTCATGAATTAAATCTTTTTCGAACATTGATTATCATTATTATAGGAATCATTGACCTTTAGGTATATATAGTATGAATGAAAAGAATGATGGTACATTTAAGTCTTAAAGTGATATTATATAAATATTATGTATGTAGAGAATAATACATACCCTCTTCCATATATCACATCCTGTATCAGCCCGAGACACCAATATCAGCCAGAGGACCGATATTGGTCGAGGGCTGATGCAGGGTGTGATGTGGAAAAGGATATGTATTATTATGTTTATTACATACTTAGTTATAACATACAGCACGCAGCTACTTGAGAAAATAAAAATAAAGAATCATACAATGTACACTGACAATCCTATTATATCAAATAACAGTTACATGTATTTAAACTAAGAGAATGTGAACAAAAAAAGGTGTATTAAATTTATCACAAGAATTTTTTTTAGGTTTTAACTACAAGGGGTGTGAAATAAATCCAATCTGCCCTGCAGGATTCGTATCAGCTGGAAGCTGATACGGCTATTGTGAGGTCAATTTTCTATTTGTTTTGTATAATTTTCCATTTCTATTGTAAAATTTTCCATCTATATTCTATAATGTTTCATTTGCATTGTAAGATTATTATTTGTATTCTATATTTTTTTCATTTGTATTGTTAATTTTTTATTTGCAGTGTATAGTTCTCAATTTGTATTGTATAATTTTTTATTTGTATTTTTTAATTCTCCATTTCTATTGAATAATTTTCCATTTGTATTGTATATTTTTTTAATTTGTATTGTATAATTTTCCATTTGTATTGTATAATTTCTCATTTGTATAGTATAATTTTTCTTTTGTATTGTATACTTTTCAATTTGTATTGTTAAATTGCACAATAAAAATGGAAATTTATAGAATCCAACTGGAAAATTATAGAATACAAGTGGAAAATTATAGAATACAAATAAAAATTATAGAATACAGTAACAAATGAAAATTAAACAATACAAATGAAATATTAAAGAATAGGAATGGGCAATTATAGAATACAAATAAAAGTAAAAATTTTACAATACAAATGAAAAATTATAATTATACAATACAAATGAAAAAGTATACAATACAAATAAACATAATACAATACAAATGGAAAATTATACAATGTAAATGGAAAATATAGAATATAAATGAAAAAAATATACAATACAAATGGAAAAGATCGAATTATTGCAACGTTTGACATGCCATATAATACTAAGTATGTTATAAAAGTTACGGTATTTATTTTCTCGGTAACTGCCGTAACTGCAAAGCTTAAGGGCAAAGGACATTCTAGCCGAATTGCAGAAGGTGTGAATGGACATTTTAGCGGAAGAAAAATTAGGTACCTGGAAAAATTCATTTGGGCATTAATTTTAGTGTTGTTTTTTTTGTGTTTTTTTTTGTGTTTTTTTTTTTTTTTTTTTTTTTGTCTCAAGTAAACTTAATTCTTTGTAAAGAATCAATGTAAAGTCAGCAAATATTGATCAATTAATTACTAACTTACCAACTCTAACGGAGCTGTCAATGGCACAGGTAAAAACAAAACTCAACCCATATTCGTACAGGGAAGTACATGAAAACACGGTAGAAATGATGGAATACATACACCAGACCCTGTTTCTTAAAGATTTTTGGCAAAGCCCGTATTCAAACTAAAAGTTCTTCCCAGACCATTCTCATTCAAAATCCTACTCAGGACAGGACTGTCTCCTGTTGGTGGGCAGGAGACTGGATAAAAAAATATATGTATATATTTTAGTGAATTTTGCGCTAAAATGTCCGCATCTTATTTCTAAATCGTCTATAATGTCTTACATATCTTTCGTTAAATAAATGTCCAACACCGATTGCAAAAGACCACGGTACTCGTGGAGATTTAAATTATAAAGAGTGTAGGGACCTGCGCATGACTGCCTACTATCATTTATAAATAATGTCGGTCAAAGAAAAAAAAGGTAAGTTTATTGCACAGCTTCTTCACAATGTAAAGGTTTTGTGATACCGTTCCTCTGCACTAGGTGTACAGGAAAGATAAGCTTGATTTAGTAGTATATGTATAATTTGCTCCGTAGTGCGTAAAAATGGTATTTTCCTATATAATCTATAGTAAATGTACTGTATTTTGAGATGGTCCCTAAAAACATAACCAGACGGTAGATTTTCACTAAACTTGGCATGTATATCGAAGTCAATGTAAGGTACATATGGTATAAAATTAAAGAGTTTCTCTACAGTAGTTTTCACACAATAAAACCCCAGTCGGCTCCCTTAAATCGTATTATTTATAGAACTTCAGAAGAGTCCGGCGATAGTTCGGCTATCAGAGGATGACGTCAAAAGATCTGAGGATCTCAGACTGAAACTCACAACAGAGGAAACCAGCGCAGTTCACGGTATATATATAATTATACATACAGCAATTCCTGTCTCTACTTTTTAATTATTGAAATTTATATGAAATAAATTAACAGTTAAATATAGATAAATAGCACACATGGATATCTAAAAATATTAAAAGGTAATAACCGTAAATAAGCATTTTTCTTTTTTTGATATATATAAATCAGTCTTTCTCGGTAACCATGTTAACTCAGTCGAATTGCTGTCTTGGCCAATAACTAACTTCTGAATGATAAGAGATAAACATATATATTGGAAATATGAAATGTAATGTTTGTTAATAATAGGAATATCAGTCTCAAAACCAGGTGTATAGGACACCCCTCCGATTTTTTTCCACAAGGTACCTAACTCGATTTCTTAAGGTTGTCTGATCCTTAGGTTCTGAAAATCAACAGTTAATTAAGTAATTGAAAATGCTCACAAAAATGTCTCTGAATTTAAAGAGTAATGACTGTGATTGATTGGTTGAGTGAATTAAGTGAAAATTGAAGTAATTTTTTTAAATGCATCTAAACCAATCAGATTCTAGCTTTTAAAACATGAAAACATAATGATAATGTATTTCTCAAATTATATGCAGTATGTACTTCGCAATTTTAAATGATCCTGAATGTAAATGTAATGACCAAACCCGGTTCTTTTAGCATTCTTTGAGCTAGTCTAAGATTTTGATGTAGACAAGTAATGGTAAAAGTAATCGGGTCAAATCTCTTAACACATTGAACTTTAATTAGCAATACGCTGAAAGATCATTTTCTCAATGCAGATTTTTGTGGGGGTATTTCCAAAGCTTACCAGAAGGTTTACGAACTCGTTCCACCCACCCCAACCGTCAAATACCCAAGGACTCCAGGGTATAGGGAAACCGAGGACAAATCTTGGTGAATCTACTGTATTCATAGCAAAATTCTAATATATAGTCTTCGTTTTACTTTTACAATACGTTATGATGAGTTTCAGTTTCATGTGAAATATTGCAATTAACATTTCTGAATGTTTTGTTAAATATCGACAAGGTATTACCGTTGTGACATTAAAGGAGCCGAGAGGGGACTTCTGTCGGGTAAAACTGTAGCAATCAAAGACAATGTGTGTGTAGCAGGGGTTCCCATGATGAACGGAAGTAAATTACTGGAGGGGTTTGTACCCGACAGAGATGCTACAATTGTGACACGGATACTGGATGCAGGTATATGGAGAGAGTGAAAGAGAAAGAGAGCGATGTATAAAAATTATACATGGCCTTTTTTTTAAATTGCTTTTTCAAGAATGTTATATATGTCCCTTACTCATAGGTCATTATTCTGCCTTATATGACAGGAGCTAATTTATTTTCTTACTATTCCACGATTTTTTTTTCAATTTTGCTTATCAATCACCAAAAGTTTTGCTAAGAAAGCAGAAGACACTTCTGCAGGTGGGATTTCTTTCGTTCGAACTTTTATACGCAAACTAATGAAACAGATCGCAATGAATTTGTGGAAATTGAACATTTCTTTTATACTGCTTCAGGTGGACGAATTCTCGGTAAATCTGTATGTGAGGATATGTGTTTTTCGGGAAGTAGTTTCACGACATCATATGGACCAGTAGGAAACCCCTATGATCAAACACGGTCTGCGGGTGGATCGAGCTCGGATTCAGCTTCTCTGGTAAATAAACAGCTTAGCAGTTACAATCTCGACCTATAACCACTAGTATACAAAGCTGTATTAGTTTCTCTTAGAAATACATTTGAATTGTTCAACAGAACAAGATCTGTTGGCATAATGGTGCTGACACAAATACTTCCCATCGAGTTAGGTTGCAAGAAATGTTGTTGATGTGGCGATTGGAGGGGACCAAGGCGGATCTATTCGGATCCCGTCAAGTTGGTGTGGAATTGTCGGATTAAAACCGACCTTTGGGTTAGTTCCTTATACCGGTATAATACCAATGGAAATCACTATTGACCACGCGGGCCAATTGCCAGGACAGTGGAGGACTGCGCAACTCTGTTAGAGGTACATGTACAATAATTTACCTTAGCAAGAATGAGACCAGTAATGTATATAATTGTGTAGCGGGTATTCCCGGCAATGATGGAAACACAGTTGTTGTAACTTTTAAATTATTCTTTTATTATGGTGACATGTTGATGATAGATAAATGGATAAGATGGAATTTATGGAATAATGGAATAATGGAAATGTCCTGCAATA